TCTGAAACTAAACCCCCCCCCCCCCCCCCCCCACACTCTGAAACTAAACTCCCTGTTGAAAATGTGTAAGCCAGTCACTGTGTGCCTTTATAGCTCCTCCCACCCCTCCAACCCCTGCCATTTTAGGTAGTAAGAGGCTTGTTTTATTTATTTATTTATTTTCCATGTTTTATTGTGAATTATATGATATTTTACATGGGAGAACTTTAGTATTACATTCATTCCACCTTACATCGTTTCATTGCCATGGTTCCAATCCCCTCCATGCATCATCAATCGACCAAAGGGTATACCCTATAAACCTGCTTCCTACATTCCCCCCACCCCTTTTTCAGCACACAGTCCCTCTCCCTCTCTGGATCCAAAGTCCCCAGCCACTTCATCACTCCACGTCATCATCTCTGCCTCCATCTCAGAGACCTCTGCTCCAAGACTGGAGAGTTAATCACTCCCTTCCTTGCTACAAAATGTCTACCTTTACATTTCCAACCCTCACAATCAGTCCTGATAACAATCATCCACTATTGTATCACAGGTGACCCTTCTGCATTTCATTTCATCAGCTCCGCCTAGACAGATTGGATAGTACTTACTGGAGAGTCTGCCTTCCTCCATGCCCCCTAGCTCTAGGTTCCCTCTTGAAAGCTTGTAAGCCAGTCACTTCTTGCCTTTGTAGTTCCCCCCACCCCCAACCCCATTTGGGTATCCAATGTCCAAGTTGCCCATCTCTGTCTACTCTGTGTGTGGATGTGGAGGGGTGGGAATGTTTCTTGCTGTAAGTTATTTGTTCCCTCTTTTGGGTTACTGCATCCATAGGTGTAGGTCAAGTTCATCAAATTGTATCAGGTCACTATTTTTTTTTCCCCCTCTTCTTTCTTCTCCTGGTTGAGTTCTGATCATCCATTCATGGGGGCCAGGTCACGGGGGTACCATCTGCAGGTGTGGGTGTTCTTGTGCGTATGCCCTCTCTTCCTATCAGCTGGTAGCTTCACTCTCCACTCTAGTCCTCTGTGGCCATGCCGCTGACTCTGGGCCCAAGAATCCCCAGGTCTCCCCACACTGCTGGCCAACCAGGTCCCCATCTAGGTCCACAGAAGCCCACAGAACATTGTAGGGCTTAGCTTGCCGCTTCATTGCTGCTTTTACTCCGCTTCTCCCTATCAGCGATACGTGTGGTCACCAATCAGAGCGCGTATTTCTGTTGAGTCTTAGCCTTGGAAGGGGGTTTGCATTAAGAGGACCCGACCACTTGTCTTGATGTTTCCTGGGCAAGCAATTTGTTTGTTCTTGTAGTTAGTAACAGTCCATCTGCCTCTATTGTTTTGTATTTTTCCTGTAGGTCTTTCTTTCAAGAAGTATCTTCTGTTCTTCTAGCCGCTCCAGGCTGGTTTGTTCGTCCTTTT